ACACACAACACACAGACACACAGCACACACACACAGCACACAGACACAGCACACAGACAGACAGCACACAGACACACAGCGCACACACACACACACACACACACACACACACCACACCGGGTCCAGCCCGGCCGCCAGCCAGACACACACACACAGACACACAGGCACACACACAGACACAGACACACACACCACACCGGGTCCAGCCTGGCCGCCAGCCAGATACAGACACACAGACACACTGGGTCCAGCTGGACCGCCGGGCGGGCACACACACAGACACACCACAGACACAGACACACAGCACACGTGTCCAGCCCGACCGCAGGCCAGACACAGCAGCCAGAGGGGACAGGGTCCCCAGTTGAGCCTCAGGAATCACTGAGCAACGAAGGGTGAAGTATTGTATTTAGACAACCCAGAGGGCGGGGGAGGGGCTTGTGTGATGAAACTAAGGAGTGAAGAGTGAGAAGGGGAGTCCAGTGTCCGAGGGCTCGGGGAGGGCTGGCTGTAGAGGGATGCACGGGGCGCAGTGAGGAGCCCAGGACCTGCCGAGGCACCAGGCTGTTTGGACAGCAGAGGGACAGCTAGAAGGGCTGGAGCCCTGCTCCGAGGGGCCAGCTGCAGTGTGGTGCAAAGGCCGTTTCACACGCAGGCCCTGCCCATAGGACAAGGGCTGAGCTTCGATGCCCACGTGCCAGAGATCTCCAGGCACCGAGCCCCCCACTGTGACATGAGCCTGGGTTTATCTGTGCCCCGAGGGTGGCCCTCCAAGCACTCCAGGTCAAAGGGGTGCCCTGCCCTTGGGGTGCTGCGAGGAGAGCAGCAGACCCAACAGGCCCTTCCCAGGAAGACACACAGCTCTGTGTTCCTCCGGAGCTCGTCACCCCAGGTGGCAGCCCCACGACACGACGAACCTGGCGCATCTGAGCCTCCTACCTCTCTGTCCTCAGCTTGGTCTGCTCCAGTTCCCTCTGGATGGCCTAGAAGGTACGAGAAACCATCTGTTTTCACGATGCCATGCTGGCTCTTCATGAAGCCACCCGTGTGGTTGACTACACACACCTACGCAGTGTAAAGCCACAGGTCTGCCTGGGTTCCTCCCCTACAGCCCCAGCCCGGCTGCCGGCTGGAGGGGCGGGTTTGCTTTCCAGACACTGAGAGAGGAGCAGTCACAGAGGAGCAGCTGGTGCATGTCCTACATCTGCGGCTCCGGACCAGCCCAGGGCCCTGACGGTCACCTCCATGGCAGCACAGGACAGGAACACACACGCCCACACAAAGGGGGGTGGCAGGATCCGCTCAAAGCGCAGGCACGGGCTCTGTGCCAGGCGGACAGGCCTTCTCGCAGCCTCAGGCCCAGGAGACAGTGAGCCCTGCCTCAGCAGCAGGACTTCTCCCACCTGCTGGGTGGGCCTCACCGCTCTGACTCGGTCGTGGCTGTGCCCTGCCTCCCCCTGGGTCAGCTGACAGCCTCCTGTTATGCCCTGCTCTGTGCCAGCCCAGCGCCTGGCCTCTGTCCTCTGTCTCCATCAGCATCTGAGACACAGACTTTCCCTCTCGTCTGCACACAAGGTGCCTCTGGAGGTGGCTGTGACAAACAGGAGGCACAGACTCAGCCGGCCCCTGGCGTCTGCAGCCCTGCCCTGTGGCCTGGCCGATCCCTGGGTGCAGGCCTCCCCTCGAAAGACACCTCGGACCATGAGCTGGACATGCTCATGAAGCATCACAGCCACACACGGAACCTCCCAGGGAAACCCTGCGGCCGGAGAGGCCTCCTTCACGTCCATGAGGGACGGCAGCAGATGCCCCGAAAGGGCACTTCCAAGGCCGGGGCGTGCGAACACCGACCCCCGTGGGCTCTCACGTAGGAGAGCACGTTGCCGAGGCCACATGACGAGAAGGAATAGAAGGAATACCTCCAACTTTCCCGCCAGCTTCCCCAGAAGGTCCTCCAGGTCTGAGATGCGCGATAACTGCTCGTGGTGGGAGGTCACCGCGTCGGCCTTGGAGAGAAATGAGAACAAATGGTGGAGAAAGGTAAGCGACAAACCAACAAAACCCTGGCACGTTATTTCCACACAAAATGCCCGAGTATGGAGAGCGTCTGGTCACCACGTGGCAGAGCACCTGGAAGGCTCACCACCCACCAACCAGGCTCTCGTCTCCACCGCCGTCGGAGACCCGAGGAGAAAAGACACCCACGTGGCTGCCCCCGACAAGCTGGGGTTCCCTCTGGGGTCACCGTGACCAGTGCTCAGGCAAACGTCGGAGGTGGCCAAGAACAGAGGGCCAAGCGTACTGAGCCAACCAGACTTAGATCTCAACTCCAGAGAAACGGATCCTGCCTTTTCTACAGGTCATTTTCTTCTTTAAAGAGAACGCAAATGAGCCGTATGCACGAGGGGCGGCCTGCTGGCCACCCTCTTGTGTGGGAGCTCCCTGTCACGAGCGTCCGTGCTGGGAGAGCACTCGGGCCTCAGCTAGATGCTCGGGGGACCCAGGCTCCGGGTGGGACTCTGAGCTCGCCCGGCGGCACAGCCACGCAGAGCTGTGACCAGTGCTGCCCCCCGCCCTCCCCGTGGAGCCACGCCCGCTGAGCGCATGTCTAATGACTTGGTGTTCTCAGGAAAGAACGCCAGCCTGCCCTCCGCACACTGATGCCGACGCCCTAAGGTCCAACAGGAAGAGCAGGGCCAGGCCCACGCTGTGTCCTCCTGACCATGGCCCCAGAGGGAAATGCCTCACCTGGGAGCCCAGCAGCCCACTGGCTCCAAGGTCCTTCAAGTGCTGCCCCACCACGCTTGTCACCAGGGACGACACCCCGGCACCCCCGTCGTCCATCTGGTCCACCCGCACTTGCAGCTTTTGGAGCGAAGCTGTCAGTTCTCGAAGCTTCTCGTCGCGGCTCTGACACTGTCCGGACAGAGAGGTCACCTGCCTCTCCACCTCACTCATCCAACGCCAGGGAGACGCCTCCGCAGCACCCTAAAGCAGGAAGGGGACGTTCCCACAGCAACGCGAGTGAGACATCAAACACCGGGCAGGCCAAAGCTGAAAGCAGAGCCCTGGCCGGAGTGGCTGTGGCTGGGTCATCCTGTGCACCCAGGCGTCGCCACTTCATTCACGGCCGAGGCACGTGCCAGGTTTCGGGCTCCACCCAGTAGGGGGTGTGCGGGAGGCAGCCCATCGATGTGTCACTCTCTTTCTCTCTCTCTCTCTCCCCCTCTCCCTTCCTCTCTCTCTAAAAATCAATAAAAAATCTTTAACAAACCCCCCAAAAAACTCCAAGACAGAATATGACAGCAAAATGTCAACTATAACGCACACAGATACATGAAAGGAAAATATGCAAACATGCCCATCAGTGGAGTCCCTACATGGCAAGCTAGTGGTGGTGTTCATTTCCTCTCTGTGCTTTCTATATTTCCCTAGCAATGAGCACTCTATTTTTCAAGTTAAATTAACTGGATTAGGAGGTTACTTTACAGATGCATTATCTGTACTATTTCAGAGCATTTAAGGAGCTTGATATTTAAAAGTATTTCCTAAAACAGGGCACCCCTGCACCTGCAAGGCCAGGTGAGGGCTTTTAACTGGTTACCTCTGGAGGCTGGCTCAGGTGAGAAGTCTCAGGTGTGAACATGTCTTTGGGGTCATCCACCCTCTGTGTTCTGAGGGTGTGTGTCCAGTTGAACACAGGCAGGAGGGAGAGGAAGCCGTCCTGGCCTCGTAAGGAAAGGCCGGCACCTTGAAGGAGAGAAAACCAGGCGGTCGGCCCAGGCACACCGCCTCCCACAAAGGGCACAGATGCCAACGCTCCCGAGGCACCTCCCAGGGAGCGCAGTCACACCTACTCACCGAGTAAGAGGAGCAGTGGAATGAGCAAGATGAGAAACTTGCAAATATCCCGAAGGCACCTAGGAACCAGGAAAACATTTGCGTGAGGAAGCACAAGGCAGGGTTCCCCGTTCACTTGCCCTCTCCAGGTGACACCGCCCCGCCTGCCCCCGAGTCCTGAGAGGAGCCCACAGAAATGCAGTTACAGTTTCCCCACCAGGTGTGTCTCCACTACAGGAGCCCGGCCTCTAAGTGGTGGCTTGGGCCCACGTCAACAATCACACACAGGCCATGCT